TTTTCCCTGAGTCTCTCTTCCGGCTTGATTTATCGTTAGGTATTTCGTGCGTGTTTGGTGGTGTGCCCCGGGCTTGTGGATCGCTTTGTATGGGAATGGGAATCAGGTAGGACGTTTCGAATATCGCACGTCGGCATTACGTTGACTTGGGAGTCTCTAGTATTTCACTGGGAGTCTCTCAAGAGGTGATGCACACGCTTCAATGGGCGTGTGAATGGCGGGCGAGGGAGGGGTGGGGTAGGCATCGAAGGCGGTTTTAAATAACTTATCGAGAGAATACTTATTTTATTTTGGTTCTACGTTTTATTATCGTTTTTGGTAGATACACGAGGGTGTAGAGTTTCTGCAGACCTAGTTAGGGTTTTGTCCAGATGCTCTAGAGGGAGCCGTACCGAGTTGGAGCACGGTGTAAATTGTACCCTAGACGCACAAAGGGTGAGGAGTACTGGAGCACGGGAGTGGCGGCGGCTGATGCGGTGCCATTCTCTTCTATACGATGCTTTTGCTCGATATGTTTACGAACACCCGTAAAGTATTCAGCGCGATAATTAACGTTGTAGGATCAAACACACATTTTTTTTTTTTTCTTCGTCTCCCGTTTGCACGTTTTCGTGCTGCGCACCGAAGCAGCGAATGCGAGAGAAAGTTGCATTTCATGGCGGCTTCGACCCCCGCCCACGCCGACCTCTCTTCTTGCTTTCGTGTACGCAACGTGCTCCCGAAAGACGTGTTCCTTTCGTGCACGCAATCAATGTGCCCCGAAAGACTTTATAGGAGACGGTTGCACCAAATGTCCCCCCAAGTATCAACTAGTTGGCCTCGGATCTTCCAAGTCGGTTGCACAAAAAAATGAATCTGCCATGTACAAGATCGCTTGCCCCCGTTGGGATGGATGACCATGCCATCTCTTCCAAACGCAATGTCGTCGTTTTTTCTACAGCGAAGGTTTTCAGAAACCTTGCTCTTCCGCTGTACTCACGAACCGGTCTGGCTGGTAGCCAATGCGTCATGCTCCCTACCCTTCATCAGAGAAAAGGAAACGCGCTTTCGTGGTGGTACTGACCAAAAACAGAAGGACTCGAACGCAGATGAGACATGAAGCGACACACAATTAATTGTGCACCCTCTAGACCCCCTCCCCACCGGTTGGTTACTACTACCCACAAGGTTTGCAAGCGTTCTCATCAAAAGAACGCTTTGGACACGCACACATCGCCGTCGGCATAATAAGCTAGCTCACGCTAAGCGATAGTAATAGATGGCAATGAATGGTCATCAGCATGTGTGGCATTCATCCGTGGTGGTAGGAGAGACCGTGCGTCCCGCACACGGAGGAAGAAGACCCTCGGAGGAGCCGCCTCTACACCCTACCTAGCCGACCTACACCATGACGATAAATATCTCCAACCTCGCCACTGCTCACCGCCCCCGCGCCCACCCACTTCCACCACCAAATCGACACAGTCACAGTTGTTCGTGCCCGCAGTTACAAACGTGGCAGTGATACTCATCATCTATTATATTAACCGATAGAACTTGAGCTTGCTTGAGCACCGTTTAATTTTTTAGTTCGGTGAAGAGCCCCACTGAACCCCACGATGTATACAGTAGCGGCCATTTACTACTACAGCATAACCCTAACAATTACCACAAACAAGACCCCCAGCCGCGGCCAAAACTAGGTCCTGAAGCAACTGCGGACGCAAACAACTGTAAAAAAATGTCCCGCAGCGCAGGGTACACGTAAAAGTCATCCCGCACACCTAGGTAACCCGCCCCCCTCCCTCGGGAAGGCCGGAAAAATTGTCGATTTTTCACCTCTTGTGGGACTTGGAGAACACTTCCCGCAAGACGCTTCATGGGAGACACATCGTGTTCTACGAGGGACGATATTTCACACATACTTTGAGCGGGTTAGGTGCTCTCCTAATGTTCTTCGCACCCGTTTCGTCTGACCATGACTTATAGTTCGCGAGAGAGGACTCTAGCTCGCGCATAGGGTACCCGTGCAAAAACAGGGTTCTCCCCCGCGGCCCCGCCATGGTACATATAGGAATAGACTACCCCCCTCCCCCTCGAAAATGTCCCACATAAGAACTTGGGTGCATTGGCGCCGAAAAAACATTTTTCGTGCACCCTTGCACAGCGTCATATATATGCATGTTCACATGAAAAACGACACAGCCCTGTACATGAAGCTTCCCTCGAGAGCCTCCGACTTTACGCCCGCACCCCCTTCACGCGCCTCTCCCCTCCCTCCTCGTCCCCACGGTAGCAGCAGGGTGTTCACCAGCACGCAGCGGAAGTCGACCAGCGCTCGCGCGGACTGCCGTGCCTCCCGCCAACTCTCCTTCCCCGGAGCCCCCTCCCGGCTGGCCGCGGCCGCCACCACCGCCGCTACAGCGACAGCCGCCGCTATGCCCTGTGTCGCGATCGGCCGGTGCTCCAAGGCAGCCCCTCCCAGGAGAAGGGTCGGGAGGAGCCACCACAGCAGCGGCCGGAGGTCCTTCGCGAACGCCCGCGAGGACGCTAGGAGGAGGCTTGTGACGAGCTCGGCGCAGAGGAGGAGGGCCGCGGCGGGGCGCCACACGACGTTGAAGAAGACGCAGAAGAGGGAGTCGGCCAGGGCGTGGTAGCTCCCGTGGCCCACGAACTTCTCGAGGGAGGGGACGAACCGGGGGGCGTCGAGCTCGGCGTGCCGCTCTCGGCGGGGACGCATGCGGCAGCCGGACAGGGTGAAGGACGGCCTGACATAGAACTGCCTCTCTTGGCCGACTCCGTTCCTTCTCCCCTGCCCGTCTTCCCGTGCCGTTGTTGATTTGAGTCCTACTCCTTCGTTACCTCGTCTGGCTGCAACACCCGACGACGAGGACGACGATGGCGATTGCGATGATAGCGATGGCGGTAATAGCGATTCATTGCCGTTATTCCCTTGTTCCAACCCTCTACTGCTGCTACCAGGAGGAGGAGCCGCCGACGAAAAAGACGCCATTTCCTCCAATGACGTCCTGCCAGAAAAGTTAGACGAGCTTCTTCTGCTGCTAGCAGGCGTCGTAGGGTTCGAAGGCGTCGCCCTCTCCGCCGCCAACGTACCGTCGTTCTCGTCGTCGTCGCCTTCACTGCTGCTGCTGCTGCTCTCTCTTCTGCGGAGGGCGGATGCCCCACCCTCTAAAACGCTGTCCTTGGCCATGGTGCTGTCGGGAGCGCATCCGGTGCTGCTGCTTGAGAACCTGGAGAGCCTGGACACGTGCGAGCAGGTGTGGTCGATCCCTTCGTTGGCCATCCAGAAGAGCGCGTCGCGGTACCCTAGGTCGTAGAGCCAGTCGATCGCCCCGGGGTCGTTCGGAGGCAGGGCGATCCAGGAGAGGGGCACGTACCGGGAAGGGCGGATCGACGCGGTGCTGGCGTACAGCGGGCTGATGGTCACCGTCTTGAGTCCCTGGAAAGATGGGCGGTTGGTGTATGTATGTTTTACGTGTGCGCGAGTAACAAGCAAGTGCCGAGGGGGTGGGGGACGTTTATACGCGCGCTTGAGATCAAAGCAGAAACTCATTTCATTGCTGTTATTACTATGAACCGGAACAATTGCAGCCCGAAGAGCAAAGAACCACCGTCGGCAAATGCCGGGCGGTACTGCAGTGAAAAACCATCCGGGTTGGGATTGGCCCGGTCGAGGGTTAACCCCGCCGGACTCACGCGCGCTAGGTACGGTAGGGAAAATGATATTGGTCCACCTTTGGCAAGGTAGGAAGGAACGATTGGCCATTCGTGATCGGTCCTCCTTGGAACTATGCTCCGTCCTCTCGAGGACGCTGGTCTAACAACGAAGGCACGCAAAATATGAGTACGTCTCCCTCCCCTTCCTCATCATCGTCCGAGAACAAAACCTCCTCCTCCTCCTCCTCCTTACCCTAGCCTCCTCCTCGTCGAAGCTGGGAGCGCTCGGTCCCTCGGAGAACACCCCGTCGAAGCACCGCTTCCCCCGGAACACGTGCGGCAGCACCAGGGGGAAGCACGCGCACGAGCATCGCAGCGCGTCGATTAGGTCCTCCCCGTCGCGGAACTCCTTGGCGCGTATCGACTTCCAGCCTAGCACGGAGGACAGGACCACCGTCAGCCGGCCGGGCGGGGACGTGTTTCGGCCCACCCTCTCGACGGGCAGGCACGCGAGCAAGGACTCCAGGAGGAACTGGCCGATGTAGAACATGCCATACACGAAGCCGAAGAACCTCGCGGCGTGCGCCCGGGGTATGAAACTCGTCTTGGCCTGCTCCACTATCTGTTGTTGTTGTTGGTCGTCGTCGTTCATCAACAGACAATTTCGTCGTTGTTGTTGGCACAGACGCGGGGGGGCGGGGGGAAGAGGCACTTGTTCGTCGCATCGGGTTGTGATGTGGTATCTGCTAAAGGGTAAGCGTGGCGCCTGCGGAATACCTACAGCGATTTGGTTTTTACCGGCCTGATTTCGGTTGGAAGGCTTATTAGCCTCGGCGCTCACGGGGAGTGACGGCATCCCTCTCGTTGGACTTGATTGAGTTTGTTGACGGATCTCTCAGAAGAGGAATCTTCTTCCATTCATTGCCATTTTTGTCCCCCTCGACGCCTACGGAGGAGGTGTTGCCATATTGTCTACCATAACTTCCCCCTGTCATCGGTGCGTTGTAGGTTTGCGGGATGTATGTAACGTGTGTGTTGGGTGTTTGGTTGGTTGAGAGAATACTCCAGTAATCAAGCTCGTTTCCGCGACGGTGTATGCTGTGGCAAGTCGAGAGAGGGAATGGAGTCCCGATGATACCTTTCTTTTTTTTTTCTCCCATCATCGGGCTCTGTCGTCTGCCCCTCTGGCCCCTATCCTCCACTTCTACTAGCTAGACGACCCAACCGGGGTCACATAGGAGGGGGGGGCTGGACCCCCTCATGCGGTTCCTGCCTGAGGTATTTTTATCGCGAGAAGGGTACAGCAATCCCTTCCCTCGCGACTTATGAAGTCGATTATGGTTTACTAACAACGAGCTTTGCAGCGCGTCGCTTTCATCCTAGACCAGGATTTATTCAGTGAGAAAAAAACTATGTACCCTCACGCCAAAAGGAAAAGACGCTACTTCAACACAAATCGGTCGCCCCGGTGGTCTAGTGGGTAGCCTCGCAGCCTGCTAATGGCCAGGTCATAGGTCCGAGTCCCGGCAGAGAAAGTTTTTTTATTACAAAATATATCCTGGTCTAGGATGAAAGCGACGCGCTGCAAAGCTCGTTTGTTAGTAAACCATAAGCGACTACGTAAGTCGCGAGGGAAGGGATTGCTGTACCCTTCTCGCGATAAAAATACCTCAGGCATGAACCGCAGGAGGGNGAAGTGGAGGATAGGGGCTAGAGGGGCAGACCACAGAGTCCAATGATGGGAGAAAAACAACAAAAAACAAAAAACAACACAGACTACAGCACACGCAATGCGCGGTATACAGCTGAATGCATGGCTTGGAGCCGCTTGCGGTAGCGAGCAATAATCGACGTACGCGCGAAGCGAAGCGGGGGTGTAGAGCTGTAGTATCATGCTCTTTGTCGCAATGGGGATCGATGTACTGCGATGGGTGCGAAAAACGCAATGGGCGCGTTGACTAACTCACATTATTACCAGTGGCGGTACGCAGAAAGATCGACGCGTGCTTCATAAACATATATTCATGAATAAGGCTCTTCGCTCTCAGCGTTTTACTTAAGGTTCTTCGCTCTCAGCACGTGGAGCGTGATTTCGTGACTCCTAGACCTCGCCTCGCCGCGAGAGTTGCGCCTACCGGTAGCCCTGCGTTGCGAGCGCCCCACCCGCGTGCGCCTCGCGCTGGGGGCGGCCGTGGCTTCGCGGCAACGAGCGCGTCAGACACGGTTCTACCGGTTCTCTGTGACGTCACGTCTACGAAACCGGGGTCGGTTCTATCACGTCACGATAGGCCCTTCGGAACAAAACAGGCGGTGTAGACCGCACTCGCTGTTGCAACAGAGTTAGGCCTGTCCTCCATCGGCCGTTTTGCTTGTATGACGGAGAATAAGAAGGTGGAATTACTTGAAATTAGTATAGAAATAAAGTTTGTGTACCTAAATCGAAAATAAAACGGCCGATGGAGGACTCTGTTACAGAGTGCGCATGTTGTAACAGAAGTAACTACGCACGCAACAATATTCTAGATGTATGATTTGTATGCGCATTAACATTTTGTACGCTTAGACTACTTGTTGTACGTCTACTTTAGACTCGACGAAAGCACTAGTCGACGAAACGTTCAGGACTGACGGTACGATTGGTGCGCTCATTATAGAAGGCTGACATTTGACCACAGCGCTTTCTATGGCGCGTCTGCAGCTTTGAGAACGCACATGGTGCAGGCAATTTCCGAGCCTCGCAATTTGGTCACACGTTGTTGACAGATGATCCATACAAGCTGGGCCAGCTAAGTTGCATGCAAATTGGTTGATAACGATTTACACCACGATTTCTACGAATTAGAACCTGAAATTTGACATGTGGTCGGTATTAGTGCAAACAAGACCTTGACTGGAAGCACCCTTTCTTGTGTTTTTTTTTTCACGAGGTAGCCTTATTATGGGACAAATGGTGATCCTTTTTTGTGTATAGGGGGGCCAAAAAAAAAAAAAGTGCTTCCAGTCAAGGTCTTGGTTGTACTAATACCGACCACACATTACATGTTAAAACTTCAGATTCCAACTCGTAAAAGTTGTGATGTAATTGCGATAACCTCACATTTCCTTGGCTATCTTGTGTGTTGTGTCGGATTCTGTACGAGGCCATGTATATCTCTTATCTTGGTAGAAGATGGTTTGAGCCTTGTAACAATGATCATTTTTCTCGCACTGCTCCCAGGCAAGTGCACACCAAGTTTCAGCTTATTCGGTGTAACTTTTGTAATAATGCTGATTTCAGCACCACCGGGAGTATCCCCCCCTACGCCGCCAACTGATGGTTTAGTACCGTAATCAACTCAAATTCGAACAGTTCTGGTACCTGCGCTTCCCATACTGTCTCATGAGAGCAGCCAACAAATTTCAAGCCCAAATTCGTGGAAACGACAGAAGAATGAGACTCGAACGAACGAAAATGAGCTTTTCGCCTGGCCCAGCTTGTAAGCATGTATGTTTCGGACGCAGCTTCGCGGAAATTCGCGAGAGGATGATCGTGCCGACGAACTTAATACAGAAACCGGGCAACTCCCGTTTGAAACTCAGCCTACAAGGGGTGTGCCCGACCATAGATGCAAAGCACGCGGTGTTTGTCTGGACACAACGAACCTTGTCTATGTCGGCCTCGAGGACCAAAGCAGCGGCGGCCAGGGAACCAGCAGAGCTTCCGATGACGCTCTGCTCCGTGGGTCGCACGTTGTGCAACCCGTGATCCAGCAAGCATTTGGCCACCCCAAACGTGTAGAACATGAGCCACCCGCCCATTGCGAACGAGAAGTTGAAGGCCGGAAGTCGCTGGTTCTTGCCCTCTCCTGAGGCCTGTTTGGCGGCCGCTGGTGGTGCTGCAGTGTTCGTGCTAGTTGGTGGTGTTTTTGCTTCTCCTCCTCCTCCTCCTCCTCCTCCTCCTCCTTGTCCTGCCGACACCTCTGTGGTGTCCACATCGACGATTTTGAACCAGTCATCATCACCGCTACCACCATCGTCGTCACCATGCTGGTGCGTGTTGTCGTTGGTGCTGTTAACTCCACCAGCAGCAGCAGCCTCTGTGGCGAGACTATTCGTAGACCTCACGCTGGGATGGCACAAGGAAATGTTCCCGTCGTCTCCTCCTCCAGCACTGGTCGACTGCTGATGGCGTGTCGAGAATGTCGCTGAGGAACACCTCTCAGTTTTGACTGCCAGGTCACAGCCATTAGCGACAGGAGATGAACCCGGACCCATCATGTGTGTCAGTAGTACGGGGGAAAATGCTGTGTCGGTCTTGGGCACGAGAGAGCTCAGAATCAATCTCGGTTGAATACGTCCGGCCGATTCAAACACAGCAACTATGTTGACTCTACGGCATCATCCATTGGAAATAAATGCAATTATTCGTTGTCAAGGTGGCCGCGATACTGCTGTACGTGCGCGCACGTTCGATGTCGCATGACCTCAAACGACGTTTGCTCGAAGTAAGCAAGAACCATAATGCGTTGTCGGTCGACCTTCGCCAAATCAATGCTCACACGGAGCTGGCTCTATTGTTCCGGGATTGGCGACGGTACACGTACCCGGTCGCCCCGGTGGTCTAGTGGGTAGCCTCGCAGCCTGCTAAGGGCCAGGTCATGGGTTCGAGTCCCGACAGAGAGTTTTTTTCTCACCAAATAAATCCTGGTCTAGGATGAAAGCGACGCGCTGCAAAGCTCGTTTGTTAGTAAACCATAATCGACTTCGTAAGTCGCGAGGGAAGGGATTGCTGTACCCTTCTCGCGATAAAAATACCTCAGGCATGAACCGCAGGAGGGGGTCCAACCCCCCCCTCCTATGTGACCCCGGTTGGGTCGTCTAGCTAGTAGAAGTGGAGGATAGGGGCCAGAGGGGCAGACGACAGAGTCCAATGATGGGAGAAAAACAAACAACAAAAAAACAAAAAACGTACGAATCGCACGCATACATTCGTGTAGCTCTTACGGCCGAGACTTGCTTGTTCTTCCGATGCCCTCAGAAAAAACTTACGAACTAGACTATTGTAGATAGTCTAGGCCTTTTTGCTCCATCAGTCGCTTTATTTTCGATTTAGATCCACAAACTTTATTTCCATACCTATTTCAAGTAAATTTCACCTTCTTATTCTCCGTCATACAAACAATACGGCCGATGCAAAGGCCTAATTGTAGTCTCACAACCGAATGCAAGGCCCAGCTACAGAGCAGAGTGGCCGAGAACTGAGCTACGCGCGAGATAGGAGAGCCAGTCGCATAACGTGGTTCGAGAGACGGTTGAATAAAACATGCAGCATCGCTGCTTCTGTTCATGGTTTGAGATCCTGAGCGGACGAGCCTCTCACTGATCAAAAACCCAAAGAACAGAGGGGATAGCAGCATATATATGCGGTGGGAAGGCTCTCCTCGCAGCGGGTTATCCACTAACCGTCCGACACACCATACCATGACCGAATCGCTAATCGAAGGTTGCGAGCTGTCTAGTTACAACTGCAGCCATGCCCAAACGGCCGGAACGAGAGGGTGAAGGTTGGGAGAGAGGGGAATGAATGTGAAGAGCGTAATTTACCTCAGCCCTACCGTAGTAGCCTCTTTACGAAAATGTGTCGTCACTGTCTGAGAGCACAAACATTTTGATTTGTAAAAAAATGTTTTTTACGTGTACTCCTCCTGTGGTGTAGTACGCGGTAGCCAATCTATTCAGATATTTACAGTATGGTTCGGGAGTGAAAAACGACCAACATAGATTAGGTATGCCGAGCTTTTTGAACGACAGAATGACGTCGCCTGGCTTGTTTGTGTCCGCGTTGGTGACGAGTGTCGAGGAAAACTGTTACAACGTAGTCAGGCACAGTTTACAATAGGTGCGACTGCGGCAACTAGCCTTCGGTAGACATAATACAGAAAGAAGAGATGGTACTTAGCAGAGAACATGAGCACAGAGTTGTAGCGGAGATAATTTGGCAAGCGAGACTGTCGTCGTTTGCATTGTTCCGAACCCCGAAATTCCGGTACTACTCGGGCCAATAACGAAGGATTCGGTATAACCGTGAGTCCATGGTTTGTGGAAGCGTTCCGGAAATTTCGTGAAAGAGCGGCGAGAGGCAAAAAAGGGTACACGGGGGTATAGCTATATACAGGGTGCAAAGAAGAGAGAGAGAGTGGCAGAAGCTTTTGGGATCCTTGGGAAGCCGAGGGCCTCGAAGGGAAAAGCGTTGCATCGCCCGCGAAGGCAGTGCAGCAAAGCAGCAGCGAGAGAATAGAGTTTTCGTTTGGGACTTGATCGAATTCGATCGAGTTTGTCCTAGACACGCCGGAGCGATGAACAACGGCAGCAACCTGCAGCAGCAGGGTCAGGGTCCCCCCCAGCAGCCGCAGCCAGCGCAGCCAGCGCAACCTCCACCACCTCCAACGCCGCCTCCAGGTGGACCACCGCCCGCAGCTAACCAACAACAGAGCAGCGGCGGCGGAGGAGGAGCAGTAGCGGCAGCTCCCCATGGTGGCGGACAGGCAGTGGCAGCGGGAAACCAGCCAGCAGGGGCGGCGGGAAACCAACAGGGGGCGGGACACAACAACGCGCCTCCGGCAGCAGGAGGAGGAGACCAGAACGCGGGCGGAGCCGCGCCAGCCGGGTTGGGAGGCCCACCTCCCCCCATCAACCCTGTCCAGCTACTGCTGCAGATGTCTGTACTGCTAAAAGAGCAAAACGACCGACTCGGCAACCTGGAGCGCAGGATGCAGCAGCAGCAGCAGCACCACCACCACCACCACCCGCAGGACCAGCACCAGCACCAGCAACAGCAACAGCAGCCTGGCCACCTCCCCCCTGGCGGCCTCCAGCAGCAAGGTCAGCCCTAGCCCATCAATCTCCCTCTAGGTGGCCAG